GTTCTGCAGCGGCAACGCCGGAGGGGGATTTTAACACCGTCGGGATCAGCCCCCAGCGCGAGGCCGCGGCTCCCGGGGCACCTCGTGAGGGTCGCGCGGCTCCTTGCAGGAGAGGGCTTCTGGTGACCGACCTAAACCACCTCCTTACCTTAAACATGCAATGAAACGGGGGACCGATGCTGTCGTATCTCTCCAGGGAGCTGTTCGACTTGATTTCATAGTAGTCCAGGCTGGATGCCCTGTCGTGAAAAAGTAGATCAAGTTGCACCAGACTCAGAGGGAACAGGAAACAGCCTTGCGCCCTGCACCTCCGCAAAGAGCGGCGACCCCACGCTGGGCCACCGAGGCTCCCAGCACCCTGAGGATGCCCCGCTGCCCGGCTGGCGATGCCCCAGCGCCCGGCGTGAGGCCACGCTAGCATTAAAAAAAAAAAGGGGGGAAGGATTTTCACGCTATTCTGCCTCTGCAGTATTTTCCCCTTCATTATATAATTTTTCTCACGTCTTTAACATAACAGAGACATCCAAGGCCTTGATCAGCGGTTTTAACGTCACATATAAATCTAAGCAAGTAAATCAAATTTATATTTCGCAGCTGGAGAGGAGGGGAAGGAGCCAGGAGCATCTGATCTGTGAACTGCCCCGGGCCGCCCGCGCCAAGGTGGCGTGCCCCGCCAGACAGCAGCGCCGCGGGAAAGCACCAGCACCGCTCCGCGCGCGCTGCTGCCAGCACGTGGGGCAGCGGCCAGAAAACCCAAACGCCCTTCAAAATGACTCCTTTCTTTTTCTCCTAAGGTACCCAAACGTGCGTTTTCTGTTGTTACCTTTTTTCCAAGCTCTTCCTCCTCCTAGAAGGGCGATTCTGACGTTTGTTAAAATTGAGAATCCTCCCCCCTCCATACATTACAAGTAATAAAGTGGCTTTATTTTCTGTGCCCCACTGCCTCAAATACAAAAAAAATGACTGAAGGCCTCTAAAATCTGGTAAGAATTACAGTGGGTGGTGCCAGGGAATGTGCTTCTTGGGTCTGCATTTTTTCTTATAATTGAGTTAATAAACTATCATCTGTGCCTTTGCTGCCTCCTCTCCTTGGACAGAGGATGCACTCCACTTAAGGAAAGCATTTTAGTTAATGTCGATGCCCAAAACCCTTCCATGCATGACCTTCAGCTACACTTCTGGTGAGGTGATTTTAAACAGTATGGCTACCAGCCCAGACACAGCGCTTTCCAGTCGCAGCACTGGCTAGTAACACATGTTATGAACATTATCATCTACAATAAGTATTTTTTTCCCCTTAAAAATAAAATAGCACTTGCACAGATTTATTGACACTTGCATACATTTGTGCATTTAAACGTTATTAAATGCACAGCACCTCATTGCTTTTTACTGTTGATTTTTCTAAGTGTCTGCTGAGTGTCATGTGCAGCAGGCAAGAAGCAGCAAAGCAGCCATCCCTGCGCGAGGAAGGACCTGCGCTTGCTGCCGCAACAGGCTGCAGCAAATCTAGCTGCTTGGCTTCAGGGCAAAAATGCAACCCTGCAGGCAGGGGCCTGGGGAACCTGCCAGAATCGCCCTCGAGACCCTCTGGGCTCCCCACTGGGGCCTGGGATCGCACCTGGTGAAGAGCAGGTCGGCTTCGTACTTCAGGTGATAATTCAGGAGGGCGGAATTGTCCTCCTTGGTGCTCTCGTTCTCCTCGCTGTCGCTGAAACACAAGCAGAGCACGGGGCGGTTAGGTCCCATGGCTCGCTGCCCAGGGGCAGGCTGGCAGGATAATTTGGGCATGTGGCACCACAGCAGGGTCCTGGCCCTCAGCTCCCAACAGCACCCACCACGGTCAATTTATCAGCCGTCAGAGCTTGCAAAAAATACACGCATAGAACGGCTTTTATTCTTACAGGAAAGTAGGGGAATCCTCTGGAGTGCAACAGCATCAGGCTATTACTCCTGCCTGCCTCGGCACCTTCGCTAGGCGGGACGGGAGCATTTCCTGCTGGCACAGCGCGATTCACGGGCTCTGCAATGCTTAATCCTTTCCCCTTAGCGCCTCCGAGCACAGGGGAAGCCCACCCATAGGGAGAGGCACGGGCTGCAGCGTGCAACCGCGCTGCCGCTTTAGCGTTTTGCCATGCTGGTGGGGGAAATGGGTGGCTGGCTCACCTTGGACTCGGGCTCTCGCATTTTGGGCCACGGGATATGGGGCATACGGGGTCATCTGAGGAGGGTTCCCCCAATGGGGTGGTGGAAAAGATGCTAAGTGTGTGTGTGTGTGTACACATGCACATGCATGCACATGTGCAGGGGCTGGATGCTATGTCAGCCTTTTGTGAACACTTTCCCTCAAGCCCAGCAGGACTGCTAAAATGAGCTGCGCCTGGGTGAAAGAGGAACACGGGTGACCGCATGGGTTGGGACCTCGGGCCTGCTCGCTCCAGAGGCCCAGGCTGCCAAGCCATGTAAATCTGGTCATAAATGCATCAAGCTCTACCTTAAACCCCATTAAAGTTTTCTGTCCTGCGCTGCTCCTTGGGGGGCTATTGGACAACGTCACCTGCCTCCTCTTCTTCCTTTGCAGCCCAGTGGGGCCAGCATCCCTGTGCTTTCTGGTGCATAGGAGCCATAGGGAACACACGGGGGAAGCTTGAACAAATGAGTTTCAGCAAAAGTATAAAAAGGAGCAATTTTGCTCAGTAACTTTTATTAGCCCAAGGCTCTAAACGTAGATCATTTGGAGAAAGGTTTCTGGTACCCTCGCTGGAGCATAGAGCGGTCTCAAAACAGTCCTGCATGTGCACCAGCCCCAGCACAGGAAATTCTTGGCTGCCCTCCGGTACAGTGATTGATGAAAATGAAGAAAACCCTAATAAGATTTCACTTGGCTGTCAGAACAATTTACCTGTGCTTGGAAAGTGAGTGAGGAGAATTTTGCAAAGGTGTTATGAGACATTTTTTCCTGGGAACGTTTGCGGTTGTGAGAGGGGCTAAATAAAAAGCCGCGGTTAGAGACCCTTTCTGCTCAGCTGCAGAACGTGGCAGCTACAGCACAACCCTGCTATACATACAGAAAGAGTATGAATATATACATAAACAAAAATATCCTGACTTCCAAATTCATTGCTGCATGCTCTGTAATAACCCATGGTAATCTAGTTTCCATGCAGTTATTCCCTGAGGGGTATCGCTGGAGCAAAGCTGCAAGCACCACTTAGGCGTGCTAGCAGCTATTGAAGATGGAAACCCCGGCTCCTGTCAACAACGAACAGAGCAGCAGCAAGTCTGTCCTCTCCAAACTCACTCCAGGGAAATGGCTCAGGCTGCAATTGCAGAGCGGGGGCAAGCGGTGAAACCCAGCAGCTACTGAGCTGCAGGGAGGGGGGGGGGCGGCAGGAGGCAGGATCGGTGCAGACAGCACCACATCCGGGCAGCAAATATAGCAAGCAGACCCGTGAAAAGGGAGCAGAGAGAAAATGCAGTCATTAACCTGTTGGCAGTCAAATAGATCTCCATGCTTTGAAGAAAAATTGACTTGCTGAATTCAAAATCCAGGCGAAAAGCTACCTGCAGAGATTGAGAACAGATTGGAGAAGAATTTAGAAAAAAAAAGAGCACGCCATCCAGGTGTGGAGCGGAGCCACAGCAGCGAGCACATCCTCTGGCCAGCCCTTCTGCTGCCCCTGCCGTTCTGCGTGCCAGGCAGCTCTACAAAACGCGACGGCAGAAGCCACAGGCTTTAGGCAGTCTTATCTTTGCAGCGAGAGAAGAGGCCGCACCCAAGGTTTGCAGGATTTTTTCTCTGCCTGTATGCTGTATTTTTAGTTCTTAGGCCGGAGAACAAAGAAGCCCCCCTTTAAAAAGGCGAAATCTCCAGGAGTTTCGTGGCAAGAGGCCATTAACTCCCATCCGCGGCACAGGGTCCGCTGGCAGGGGAAGGAATGCCAGAGAGAGATTCCAACAACAATAAAATGTGATAAATGTCACATCTGCAAGAGCTGTGGCAATGACCTCAAACTGTCTGGGACTGCACAGCTGATTATAATATTAAAGCTCCTGCTGCTCTCCGGCCAAATTTCCATTTCCAGCTTGTCTTTGTTTTGGCAGGACCTGGACTACCTGATGCCACGCAGATGCATTCTCAGCCCCTGTAGGTCATGGGGAATCAGGCTGCTCCATTTTCGTCTATGGCCACAAGCATCCAAGACTATTTTATTGGGAGCTTTAAACTCTAGAGAGGTGCCTGAAGCACATCTGTCATTTTCAAGCTTCTGACAAGCAAAGGCTTCAGACTAATATATTGGTTTGTGTCTAGGAAAGATTTTATCATGACCTGCTTGTTTATATTCCACTTATATCACCCCACTTTCCTGCGAGCATGTAGGACAGGCAGACAGTATTTAGTAAGGGATGTGGTCAGGTGTTTGCATTGACCAAGTCAAGTCAAGCACTGTACAAAGTAAAGGTGGAAATCTGGATCTTGAAGATCACAAAGTTGCATCTGCCATCACTCTACAGATTGCCAAACCTGGCTCTAGGGTCAAACTCAGGTCTTGCGAAACCCTCCACCTGAGGCACGCGCCCACAAAAGCAAACTTTTCGGTAACAGGCCAGACAGGGGAGCCAGAGTCTGCTGCAACCCTGTGACAGACTCTGCAGTTTTGCACTTGAGCGCCGTGTGCATGGTGAAGCGGGCAGCGCTGCAGGGAGCCCGGCGGTGCTGGCTGCTAGCTCCAGCACCAGCTCGAGGAGCTGATAATCTGCAAATCTCTCACGCTTTGGGGCAAGCTCTTCTGCGTAAGGATTATCCTGTGTTGCCTGTAAAAGGGAGGCTCAGATTTGCGGAGCCTTTCATGTGGCAAACCTATTATGCCTAAGAGCGGTCTTAGCTACAAGGTCCGGGTCTGGGTGCATGTGACATTAGTTTGCTTTCCATCACATACATTAATGCTGCATGTAATGTTTGCAAAAGTATTCATTGGTATGGAACTAAAACGGTTTTATAGCATTTAAAAAAGTGATACTAACTGAACCTGGCTTTATGCCAAGTGCTGTGAAATGCTTTAAGACAGACTGTGGTCTGGAAGATGCTACCACCCTGGGGGCCTTGGGCAGACTTATAGGAGGGTCTGGATAGACCCCGGGTGTTCAGAGCAAGAAAAATAGGAGCGTGCTCTACCTACCAGCAAAAGGTGACTCATGTTGCAGGGAAGGGAAGTCTGGTGATAAATGACCAGAGGTGGCTCAAAGCCAACATTAAACTGCTCCAAAGGATTACAGTTAAATTCTTTGACTCAGAGGAGCTGGTTTTGATTTTGTGGCCTGAAGATCTCCTAGAATTCAAGGCAGCTTTTAGGCAACATCTTGGCCATCCAAGGCCCCCCAATATGTCTTTCAAACACCAGCAACACTGAGAAAAAGGGAAGAAGTCAAGTATGTTTACGAACCCTGTTCAAGCCCCCTGTCTGCCCTTCTGCAGTCCGGGCCCGAGGGGGTGATGGGTGCAGGGAGCAGAGCACAAGGAGAGCACGGACCCTGCTTTGCCTCGGCACGGGGCTCTCTTCCCCAGGCGTGGCAGAACGCCCTTTCCCCATGCACATGCCACCATTGGAAAAGTGGAAGGGAACAGCTTTACCTTGGCCTTAGCTCGGAAAAACGGGTAGCTCACGTTGCACACTTTCTTGTTGGGATGCTTATCTTCAGGCATGCATTCAATGTTGATGTCTGTGTCATCCTAAAACGGGATGCAACATGTCCATGAGACCGGGAACAACATCCCCTGCTTTGCATTGGTACCAGTCCCACAGCCAGGCTTTCTATGGACACCAGCAAACACACCTTTCGGGGCTTGGCATATGGCCTGGAAAAGGTTTCAGCTTGGGGGTGGGAGGGTAAAAACCATGTTTGCTGCAAGCTACAAAATCTTCCCCATGCAGCTTAACTTCTAGGGCCATTCGCACCGAGGGGCATTTCTAACAAGCAACTTCAAGCGTTCCAATTTAAATCCTGTTTAGAAATTTAACTGCAGCAATGAATGAAAAAGACTCAATAAAACTGATGATTCTTGGCACAGTAATCGTAGTGAAGAACATTTTTCTATGATCAGGAGTCACGAGGAAGTATCAAGAAATAACTTGAAATATTATTCTGTGCAGTCATCAGCTAAGGAGTAATATTTAATTTACTAGTCTCAACAGTTATGTTCCTGCTGCTTGAACGGGTTCCAGCTCATCAGCTGAGCTGGGGAAGCTCTTAGCCCGCTGCAAAGCACAAAGCTTGGGCCTGCAGGGAGACTAGGAACTACTTGGGGTCTCTTTTTGGCTCTGTGTTGGAGCAGCTCCCACAAGGGCCTTGGGTGCCCCCCCCAAGGGCCTTGGCACCCACGGGTGTCGCTGGCTGCTGCCACCAGACACATCCTGGAGAGCAACTGGAATGACGCGGCCCCGGCCGCAGCGGGGATGAACGCTCTGCCTCGACAGCGGTCAGCAGCAGCACGCAGCTCTCCCACTCCTTATCCTTCGAGATCATTTGCTTTCTAGGGCCACGACTGCTTTACATTCGGGTCTCTGTACAGCCTCCAACACGTCCCCTCTGGTAGCAATTTGCTTATTTATAAGCAGTAGTAGCCAGGAACACATTAGCAGAGTGACGTTCTTATAACTAGCTAAAAATATTTTCTGTAAACGCTGCTGCGTTGTGCTGTTACCTAGCATAATATTTTTTCTTGGTTAATTTGGAGTAATCTATCAGCAAATGCCCAGTGGCCCCCTACATTTTTCTTATTTTGTGGGCAACGTGTCCCACAATTTTCAGTTGGCAAAGCGTTTAGAATAACAAATGCAGGATATGCGATCTGCGGGCCGGTTATGAAGTCATTAGTGGATGAAGGGAGGCTCAGCAAGATCAGCATATTTACCAACAGCAGGATGTGGAGTTCTCCAGCCCAGGAGCACCTCTGGGCACATGATACCACCAGCCCTGGAAACTCATCCCCTCCTAGCTAAAACAGGCACCAGAGCTCAGCCCTGGTGCTGGTGGTGGCTTCTCAAAGCAGGAGCCACCCACCTCCCAGCTCTAATTGCTTGGGGGCATCGGGGAGGCAGGAGACTAGGGGTGCTGAGCTGTTTGGGAGCCAGCCATAAAGGCACAGGGCAGCCTCTTGAGGAGGCAAAACCTCTCTAACAAGGGGGAAGAGTTGCACTGAAACGAGCAATGGCAGGAGCGAAATATTTATCAAGGTTTGGGAAATAGCAGCTCTTCTGGTGAGCGTGGTATCTGCCGCCAGCAGTGAGCAACGTGCTATGGAGCGAGCTGGAGTAAAAGGGAAATAATGGTGCAAGCAAAGAGCGTCTTCACTTGGAGGACACCCGTGTTTGCAGGAAAGGAAAGCACAGGACTGATAAATAGCTGCTCCCACAGGGTCAGGGGAAGCCAGAAGAGAGACCTGAAATGGGGCTGCCCTGTGTGTAAAACTGATTCACTGGAAAATCTCTGGCCACATCTAGGCTGGACGCATCTCTGGAAGCCCAGGGGGTAGGGAAGCCAGCCCCAGGAAACGCTGGGCCCATGAGGGTATCCCTGCGATGCCCTGCTGCAGGGGAGGCTGGAAGGGGTCGGGGTGGCCAGGGCACGGAGGGAGGGCGCCCGGGACGCTGGGTAGAGCTCCCCCGTCGGCCAGCGAGGGGGGCACCGTGGAGAAGCGGCAGGGACTGGCTCGGTGCTAAGCTACGGTCATGTTCCCATTATCAGCCCATATTTTCAAGAGTTATAACTCGGCTGCAAGAATTCATCCCTGACAGAAACTTGGCTATGTGCAACGATATTTTCTTACTCCTGTAGCTTAAAAATACGAGTGAGAGATACTCTCAAATGCCGATGAAACTAAGAAAAATAAAACGGGAAATAATTTAATCTGCATTTGATCTTATTTCAGGCTTTTAAAATTAAAATATTTTTGTCTCTGCACGCTAAAGACCTCATAAATGCTTAGAAACTAACCCCACAAATACACCTAATTTATGAGGTATAAGGAAATTACTGGGCTCTGGTTTAGGACTCTCATCTGGCCATCTCTCTCATCTGGCCAGGATTAGAAGCTTCTGTGGAAAGCACTGGATCTCCCTCAGCAAACTCGTGCTAAATAATATGAAAGTTCCTTCCTGCTCCCCAGCAGTGAGTGACTAGCTCTTCCTCCCTGCAGCATGAGGATTTATTGCCCATATTTTTCACAGTCTTTGTGGGAGCAGTACATGCTTTGCTTCTTCACCCAGGCAAAACTGCCCTCACTTTGCAAGCTCGGTTGCGCTCTTCTCTCCAAGGTGCCCGCTTGCACTGCGGATGCGGCAATTTGCCCTCACGAGGCTGCCTGACGCCACCTCGAGCCCCTTCAGGACCAGCTCAGCCCCTTCCCTAGGCAATCCCTCGCCAGCCTTGATGACCCACCGTAGCCCCCACCTCACTGCAACTTTTCTCCTCCTGTAACCGCAGTCTCTTGAAACTCATCTTTACCTTCTGAATCAAGCTAGCAAACTGGAGGTTTCTCGAGAAAGAGATGTTTAGGACTGTGCTGTAGGCATTTTCACCCCTGTTCTCCAGCGTCGCCTCAACGGCCACCCTCCTCCTGGTGCTCTCGATGATGAAGATGGATGTGTCGAAGGACAGCGTGTAGGCTGAGCAGTCTGATGGCGACTTTCTCAGAGCTCTTCTGCAAAACTCCCTAGAGCAGGAGGAGAGAGGTACAGGTAAGTGCTGCTTGTAGAACTTCCCACAGACCTGTCTGCGCCTAAGGGAGACTTCATACAAGCTGTGACCCTAAGGCTTGGTGGGATTTTTAATCTTGCTGTAGCCAAGCTGGCTGCTAGCAAATAACGCTCTACAGCCCTGTTCATACGCTCTCTGGGACCTCGGCAGAGCCTCCTCATTTCATAAATCCCCTACAGCTTGTAGTACGGTTGCCGTAAATTCAACAGCTCATCTTATCACCAAGATAAGGAGAAAAAGAAATATACATTTGTTGCTGTGAATGATAGTGCAATTAGCTCTCTGCCCATGTGTCTGTCATAGGCCGTGCTACTATGGACAGAAGAATCACGTGTTCTTCACTCAGGCTGCAGAAGAACGTTATTTTGCCTGTGACTTTTGGGTAATGCTGCCCAGCTGCCTTCTAACCAGTTATCTCTTAATACAGTTGAGATTTAAGAAAAAGTAGATTCGATACCATTAGTAGAGTAAAGATAACATTTAGTTTCAGTCTGGCCGCAATCTCTGTCCAGTTCAGTTTACCAAAAGCTACACTTGGGGCCAATGCAGACTCTGCTATAGCAGCAGACAAAGTATGGTTTTGCAGACTTGATGGATGTTTGTGCCTTGATTTTCTATATGAAAAAGAAAAGGAAAGGAAAACGTGAAGGGGTGCCCATCAGGGCTATCTTCTACCTCTAATGGTGAAGCAGCCAGGACACCATTTCAAAGAACTAGGTGTATTCTGACAAGTAACTTCAAAAGTGATTTTCTCAGCAAAATAACCTCTATATTGGTTTCTCTTGTAGGGTGTGATCCAATACCCACTAATGTCATCAGGAAAGCTTCACGAGCTTTGGGAGGAACTGGATTAGAGGCCTGGCACACCAGTAGACCACAGCAGCTGCCCACCATTTATTCACAGGACTCTAGCCACTAAGATATGTGAATAACCCACTACCTACAGCTCCTGTCAAAGCCCCAGGCCCCAAATGCATGTGGGGCCCCAGCACAAAAGGATGAACCACACAGTTCAGGCCACGCCTCAGGATCAAGAGCTTTACAAAAGACGTGGAGCAGTAAGTGTAGTGTTATGGAAAACAAGCAAGCTTCAGGTAGCAGTGCTGGCCGTGGATGCAGAGCCCGCTGCTGTCAGCGGGAGTCAGAGCTTCAGGCTCCGATGTTCCTCCTAGATAACCTTTACTGGAAAGCACTTTAAGCAATCAGACGTAGCGTACAATTACTTCTGCTGCATGAGTCAAGGCTATAATTGCCAAGTGGGTAATGCCAGTGTTGTATTTATTGCCCCTGTTATTTGCTGATTTGTCTCCCTGGGACTCATCACCATGGCATCCAATATTATTTGTTTTGTGGATTCCCTGAGAAACCACCCATCTGTGCCAAGTATGGAGCAGGCAGGGGACTCAGCAGAGGGGATGGCAAGTTGTTTGGATCTTTGCTTGGATCAGAGAGAGTAAAGCAAAAAACAAAAACCCCAAAACCACCCCCAAAAACCCACACTCCACCCCACACAAAAACCCACCCCACACAAACAAACCAAAAAACCTGACATGCAGAAGGCTCTGAATATGTAAGACTAACTCCCTATTGAGCTGTGATGCCATTTTGTACCCTGCCACTTTTCTTTGGAGTCCAGAAAGATCTGGTGTGTGACCCAGCCTCTCTGCGCTAATGCTGAGGAGCAGAGACATTCGACTTGTCCGTGCTTGGCATATGGCGACCCTCAGGGACAGGGCAAAACGTGTGCTGGAAGCCCAAACTAACAAGGACAAAACTGAAGACACCTCTGCAGAGAGTAAAGCATCCCAGCTAGGGGGAACAAAAGCTCATGATATTCCAGTAAGCCTTTAAGAAACAAATGCAAGTTCTTCACAGAAGATAAAGGAGATTTTTTTGATTCACTTGCCCAAGCTTTGCTCTTTCTTATGATGGATTTCATCACCAGCTCACATACGCGTACTTGCTGGGCATGGAGGAGATGCAATTAACGCCAGTGCAAAAGCAAAGGTGAGAAGAGACACCAGAATATAGGAACAAACCCTCCGTGGCCCCAGTGTGGTTGGGTTTCAGAGACATCCAGTTTGTTGCACTGGTTAGGAGGACGCTCTGCCCCAGGTGACCGACTCACATGGCACTTGGAACGTCACTTCTAGCTTCAAGGACCAGGTCAGGGACACAGTGCTCATCCTCATTGCATCCGTTCCAGAAAGGCACCTGAGGGGAACGACAAGAATAGCTCAGCGACGCTTTGCGATCCAGGTTACATTCCAAAAAGAACTGGCGTATGAAGTGATCCTCAGACTGCAGAGGATACCAAGAAGTCCCACAGCTTCCAAACTTAAGTCCATGTGACTTATGCAATAAACAGCACACACATAATACATTACTATCATGGGAGAGTGTGGGAATTACGGCCCCAAGACAAAGATGCAAATGTTACATTCAGAAAGAAATGTGCTGATCAAGTTTACCATCAAATTGCCTTTTTAATTTCAACTACAGACACCAATATCCTCAACAGTCACTGAAACTATCCAGCTTCCACAGCTACTGGCAACATTAATCATGCTTGAAATGCATGCACCCTTCATTCACTAAGCTCTCATTTTTAACTTCTGCTTAAAGTCAGCTCTCAGGGAAGGCCAGGGGTCACCTCCTGTTCCAGAGAAGCATTATGTACGCAGCGGTCAGCAAGCACGCTTGTTTAGTGTGATGGGAAGAGGCTGTGCGTTCAGCTGAAATTCCCAAGGGAGGGATGGAGTTACGCAGTTCCCAGTGCCTCTTGGCAAGCCTACCTTGGCTGTGAGATCCCCAGGCACCTCTTCTCTGGCTAGGTCAGTACAAACTATTGCTGTGACCCATTTTGCACCATCCTATGCCCGCTGCTGTCCTCCAAGTATTGCTACGTACCGAGACCTTGAGTGAAGTTGGCCAGCCATCATCCAGCATGGGACCATCTTCAGGGCTCACCAGGTCATAGTCTATTGAAAATGTCACCGGCTTCACATAGTCAGCTGTGTCCTACAGCAGACAAAAAGAGGTCGTTAAAAAAGGTAGGACTCCAACTCTTGAAGGGCAGCTGGGTCAGAGAGCAAAGTAAGGTAGAATCACAGGCGTGCCTGACTGCGTTATGAAATAAAAGCTTTGTGGTTTGGAATACTTGGTACGTAATCATCTTATCTCTCCAGCTAATCCTTACATAGCGACAGAGGCAACACAGACTCAGTGGTGCTGTACAACGCCCAGCTGTGTGCGTGTGCGTCTCTGACGGCACAAGAAATGCTTCGTCCTGGAGACTCTGGCTATGAAAAGGTGGATACTCCCAGGAGTATGCGACTCCAGGCCATGTTGCTAGGGTAGACAGAGCTGTCCTGACAGTCCTTACGTGAGACTTTTTGGGCCAGTAACAAAGGTGCACCTTTCCCGTAGCTGTGTAAGCTCTTTTCATTCATCAACCTGGTTGTATGAAGCGCATCTAGCTGCTTTGAAGCAAGATGCTTCTTGGGCTAAATCACAAACTCAAACTTCAAAAATCAAATTTCCCAGAAGTTCAGGGCAGTTCAGGCTGGAGATTGAGGCTGAGCGAGTCTGGCAGCGCAGCCCTCTCTGGCCTCCGAAGAATTCTCATCATTCATTGGGAATGCTTGATTTTGGCCAGGTCTGTGCATCAACTGTTCCTTGCTAGCGAGGCAGAGGGATTCACTGGCTACCGACGCTGGGGGAAAGGGACTGTGATGGTAGGAGGAGTGCAGAGAACGAGAGCACCTGGGGATTGACACAAAAGCATTTGGTTTTAGATCAATATGAGTTTTCACAGGATTTGGAGTGGGATGGACAGCCTGATCCAGGAGTCATGAGTGCACACAGTCCCCGCGGGCACTGCTGGCACGGCTAAGGCTTAAAGAAAAAAGTAAAATGCAAGCTAGGATTGTGATGAAGTCACATCGCCGAGACTGACCAGCTGCAGCACTCCAGCAACTTCCTTGGACAGGATCTGTCCCTAACCACATCAAACCCGGTGATAATAAATCTGGGCTTGGAGACTGAGCTCAGCCTCATTTCTAGCCATGTGAGGCCTTTGAGGCACTTCTCCTTGGCCCCCATGCCTGTGTCCTGGTATGTCCCTGTTTTGCAGTTTCTCCTTGCAAAGAGTGGCCTCACTTGGGCAGATTCAAGACCCAGTGCAGACAGTGGGCTTCTCCCTCCGGCTACAAGAGGAAGGGCAGAAGAGAAGGTGCCAGCCCTGTCCTCATTTATACTTACCAATACATGGAAATTCAGCTTGTCACAGTGTTCTTGTCCAGCGAGCAACGTGAGCATCTTGTGAGTGTGCCGGTCTGCGTTCTCATCCAGATGAGCCCGCGGCGTGTACCTCCGCTCATCGATGGTGGCGTTGTACCTCATTGCTGGAAGGAGAGCAGCTCAGGTCAGAGGTTTCTCCGCGCAGTGACACTTATTCTATAACAAGATCAGGCCAACAATGTGCTTTTTCCCACTTGAATTCCTATTCCCCTGCTAGGGAGGTGAGTTAATTTGTTACCTTTGGAAGTGGCACAAGATGGAGCACACTAAGGAAAAAAAACAGTCTGTAGTTGTTGTTTTGCCATTCTAAGACGACTGCTAAGTCCAAAGCCCCTTAAAACAAATAAGGATGGTTTGAAAGCCTACGCCGTATTGCTCATGTCCATCTGCATAGCTGGCCCCATACACAGTGGGCATGTTCAAAGCAGAGTGTAAAAAAAAAAAAAAAAAGTTAAGGAAAAAGCTGGGATTTTTTAAAACGGATTTCTTTTTGTTTCAAGCTTCCACATTCAAGGCTGAGTGAGGGACTTTAAAAATGGGCTGTTTCAAGACACTGAGTAAAAGCTGTACAGGATATATAAATATTTGCTTCATGTATATTCACTTGATGGCCTGCACCAGTTGCGAAGGTGTTGCTGCCCTGGTGCATTGTCGTCTCTTAAATGCTTTACTGGGAAATCGTTTCCTGCAGCACTGTTGAAGACAAACAGAAGATGCACAAACCTAGTGCCAGGCAGGAGGGAATTTGCACCCACTACACCAACGCAATGCAAAACACACAAGAAAGTGAGAAGTCAGCATCAGTCCCCAGCAGGCACCCTCCATGGGCTGGCTGCAGGGAATCACTCAGCTTCTTGCCCTGCAAACTCTGTAATTACAGGAGCTGTACTCGATAGCAAAAGTTAAAAATCCTTGCTCTAGGGAACAGGAAGTTTTCCTTTGGCTTTGGTTGGGACCCAATTTCATCTGTCATGTAAGGCCCTTTAACAGCATTTGCTGTTGCCTATTGGTGTGGGTTTCAGGAGGGCATGCAGCTTTCATTTCCTCTTGCTCCAGCTGAGTCACGGGCATCCTCTGGGTAGACTCAGGGTCACAGCAATATGCAATGTTTTAAAACCAGAGCTAGCCAATAAATTCATAGAGATTCTCTGAGATATTAGTGAAACTTGTATGCATATGGTCCACAGATGTCTTTCTGAGACAAAGCTCACAAGCTCTGTGTTTCTGTGGGAGCTGGAGTCATTTCCATGCAGAGACTGTAGAAGAAGTGAGACATACTTTTGTGACACCTCTTCTGAAGGAGGGTGTCTCAGAAGAGCGTTCAACGTGCCCCAGCGTTACGCTGAGTGTAAAGGATCCAGCTATGGGGCCCTGCTGCTGGTCCCGCTGACCTGCAAGGTGGCAGGCGACAGCTTTGGCACGTGTACTTGTGACCAGTGTGGCGTCTTAGAGAGAGATGCGCTTGCACATCTTCTATCTCCTGCTTACTGCTCAGACTGGTAAAGCTGTGTGATTATTAGAGAAACTTTTATGCTCATACAGACATGAAACATCCTCTTGCAAGTCCCTCAGATCTGTGAGAGGGCTTGGTTCCAGAGGACAGGTGAGAGAGGAAATTAAACACTAATAAGGTTATACCCTTGGGATGCTCCTTAGCATTGCTTAATAACAGAGGTGGAATCCCTTGGTACATGACTTACGAGCCCCAGGGTAACGGGCAAAAATAGTGGGCCTTGGGTAGAAAAAGGATGTGCCAGGTGGCACAAGAACAATCCTCCAAATATACCAAGCCCTTAGCTCATTTTCCTCAGCAAAAGCAGGGCTTGCACTACTCCTTCTCGTGGCTGGAGAGCTAAAGCATAAATGAAATAGGTTTTCCTCATGTGAGCAGCAGTGCCACTTACCCACACTGGCCGTCTGGAAGTGGGCAGAGAGGAAGACAGCGGTGAAGCAGATGAAGGCTGACATGCAGGTGGCGTCCTTTCCGTTCCGCTTGCAGTCCTTGGTGAAGATGTTGATTTTGGATGGCTCGAAGCGGATGCTGGCATTGACTTGGACTACGCTGCGGGACCTGTGGGGCAAAGAAGGGATAAAGAGACATGTTGTGAGGCTGACCACAGCTCGCTGTGGCCAGCGGAGCAGGGTCAGGCCTTTGCAAGCCTTGGGGCCAGAGGAGCTTGCTGCCTCACTCGGCAGAGCCCCAGCCACCCCTGTTTCCCGCCTGCGTAGGATGCCTCCACGTGGCGGCAACAGCCTCCAGGAGGCTCTCGTGTCTCTAGAATCATCCTTTTAACACGTTTCCTCGGCATCAAAAGGTGCTGAGGATGACCAAAGGCCACCATGGCATGCTCCTCTAGCCTTAGCTTGGCTGCATAGTAGTTGCAGAACAAGATCACTATGCCATGCACACATTTGCCTCCTGCTTATGCCAGTGAATGAACTTGACGCTGAGCAGGACTTGGTGCTTTGCGCGTACGTAGCACTTATCAAGCCAGACGCCAGGGTGGGTTTGTGTAGCACATCTCTGCTGGAGGCTGTGGGGCACAGTTAGAATCCATCCTAACAGCTTCATGGGACTTTCCAAACATAAACCAGTATTTGAAAATATTAAGTTGTCTTATTTAATAAGAACAGAGAGAATCTGGGCAAGTCACAGTAAATAAATTAGCTGGTTCGAAATTCCTGGGGAACTATTGATGAAACTTGATGCAGAATAACTCTGACATCTTCTAGTCCTCAATCGCACTGTAAGACAGCATCTGAAATCCCATGGCCCCACTGGACAGGGGATTGTTATTGTGGAAAGACTGGTCCGATTTTAAGAGTGAAACTGCTCTTAAAAAATGTCAACATATGGCAATGAACTTGGAGTAGGGGACAGTGCCAAATGAGAAACAGCTAACCATAACAGCACGGCATTCCCAAGAGAGCCAACTGCTAAGTCTATGAGCCCATCTTCATTCAGATCCAGCTGTCCGTGGATACTGCATCCAAAATACATCAGGCCTGGTCCGAGGTCCACAGCGGCTATCCTCTGAAAAGCAAAAGGGAAAAATCCAGCCTCGTTTCCGGTAGGAGCATCGCTGTCTGCCTGCAAAGGGAGCCTCTGTGTCCACACCCCCATTAGTGAGCCGAGGAAGGCGTTTGCGCGTGAATGCGGGCGTGCATTTTGGGAGGCGAAGGAGTGTGTGTGGGAACAGGGGTGCCAGGCTCGTATTGCTTGTTCGAATTTGAGGGCTCAAAACCTCCCAAGGCAGGAGGGTGTCCCACAGCCCAGCACCCAGGACCTGAGGCAGGGAGGTGGCTTGGCGGGCCCCGTTTCTCTGCAGGTCCATCACTCTTGCGACATGCTCGTTTGCGGTCACGTCCACTGAGGTTGGCCAATTCAAGTCTCCACCATGCTACTAAATTACTAAAAATGCCACTTTAAGTGATTGCACCAGTTTGAATTTTCCAGGAAATCAGAACGGTTTCTCCTCGGAGGCGCCATCCAGACATTTCCACTGAAATTTCTTTGCATGTTTCCTATTTCTCATGAACATTTCTAATAGCTCATTTAAAGCAATCCAGTGCACTAAGTGCTAAGCATTCCCCCTAATTCCAAGCTTATTTTCCATATCTTACATTTGTTTTGCCTTGGACCTATCACAAGAAAAACATATCTAGTAACAGTAAGCAACACTTAAACGCTGGATGTGAATTCCTGGCCTGTGGAAATTTGCGGCCAAACATCCTTTGACTTGGCTGGCGCCCATAATTCGGAAAGAGGAGAAGCGAAGCACCAGGGAATTGTACCTGCTTGTATTTCTTCAGGATGGTCTCTTCAAAGCCGTGGAAGATGTATACGGCTCCTTGGTGGTCATCTTCCAAAGGAGCCCCGACGACGACGTCGTTGTAAGAGTCCTGGTTGAGATCAGGGACCGCGGCGATGCAGGAGCCAAACCGGGAGTTCTGGTAGCTCTGCAAGTCGTCGAGGGCCCCGCTGAAAACAAAGCGGTTCTGCGAAACCAGCCAAAGAGAAAAAGAAGAAGAAAAAAAAAAAAAGCATCAGCAGCAAGCCTGGAAAGACGAGAAAACCCCAAAAGGCAAACAGACAGACACATCCCTTAAGAGTCCTGCAAAATAAATAAAGCCCAACTCCTCCCGCCCACAGAGCCTTTCATCCAGCGAGCCAGAAACCGTGCAAAACAGAAGGGGCATCTCGGTGCCAGGCAGACGCCCAGCGTTCCCGGCTGGAAACGCGCCCGTCGCGCACGAAGC